AGATTTGCATTGCATGTTCTCAATGTAATTCAGGCAGTATTTGACATTAAAGCTGAAATTTCGAATCTCACTTTCAAACTATTTTTTTCAGACTACAAAAATGCTTACTCAGTATGGTGACCATTTATTTGATTTACTTTTTAATAGCCATTGTTTTCACTTTCAAGCCTTTTTAAGGAAGCATTTAACAGCATCGACATATTTCTTCAAATTGACCTGAATTCTACAGGTTCTCAATTTTCTGATTTTCTCATTGTCTGATTACAAGTTGCTATCAGCCACGTAATATTCTCTAAAGAGGGCAGGCAAACTTACTATCTTACTATTTTAAAAGGGCTCTCTTTATCATCTACAACATCTTTCATTCATGTTTTCAAGTTGTCAGGCATTTTTTTCCATTCCTTAATTTCTTAACACTTTCTCTTCTAGCTCACAGCTTCTTGGGATATCAGTTTTAGGTTTTTCTAAAAATTAATGTTCTCATCCAAACCATCCATGATTTCTCTTTGAAGTTCTTCTAAAATGCTTTTAAGATAGTTGTTTTTTAACATCAGTCACTTGAGCCTGAAGTATTTTGATATATCTTTAAGTGACTATGCCCTTGAAGTTAAGCCATGAAATGAAAGTTTAGGGAACTCTCTGCCGTTCTTTTTGAAAAAGTCTGCAATATCCTCAAGGGCCAAGTAGATCTGTACAGATATTTACCAAGTGCTGCCAAACTCGGTTTGTAAGTTCAGAGGACTAGTCTGCACTGGAGACTTGAAGGCTTTGTTGATTTGTGTAATCAATCGAATTATCTCACTGACTTTATCCAGGACAGAAAATCTTTTCCAGCTCTTTTTCCTTTGTTAAAGTATGCATGTTCTTCACTATAAAAACAAATTAGAGAGGTCATATCAAAATCTCTAGTGAAATCCATAGAGTCTTGAGCCTTCTCTCAAGCATCAAATACCACTGAGGGCCAGACAAGAAGGAGAAGACGAGTATCTGTGAAATGGTGCTCTCTAACTTTACTCACCACACAAATAAAAAGGGATATTGTTTGCACAGGGCATTTGAACAAGTGGAAAATGTTGATTGAAGCTAGAGGAGACCAGCCATGAGCTCTGACCACTCTAGTCCCTACCTGGCCCCACAGGAAGCCTGGAAGATCAAAGCAGTAATAGGTCATTACACATTCTCTGCCCATGAGCATGTCAGGGTGTGATAGTGGGGGCACATTGCATTTGAGGACCTCTGTGCGCATGCTCCTGGGTGAGGCTCATTCTTCTGAGTTCAGGTTTCCTTCAGCAGCAGGGAAGCCTGATCCTACCTACCTAGGTCAAAAGTATCTTCCCTTCCCTGAAGGCTCCCTTCTTCATTTGTATTCAGTCAGTCCACAGGGTCGAGGCAGAACACTGAAAGACCTCAATAAATGTATTAACTAATGGCCTTGTATTTCAGTATCAGAATGGCAATGTCTTAATGTTTCTGTGAAGCCAGTTTGTCCCCACATTCAAGCCAAGCATTCCTAGATGGGGCCAACTCTCCATTGGTGACTTAGTGGCCCAGGCTCCTGGAGCCATGTTACCCTTCCATCTTTAGCATATGGCTCCCAGGGTTGCCCTGCAGTTGGTTTCCAATCCAAGAATCATCTTAAGTGTGGTTGCCTCTGTGAAGGAAGTAGGTCCTTCTTTCTGAATTTCAACAAAATCTCACTGTCCTAATATCCCTTTGGCAAGTTCAGTCCAAGCCTCCTTGTCCATCATCTGGAACACTGGCTGAGGGATTCCTTTTCCACAGGGAAAGGAGAGAACCCTAAGTGGATGACAGTCTGGGGGATTTGAGGGACATCTAGGGCCCAAGCCGCAGGTTCCTGTATAGATATGGAGGATTGAGGCTTAGAAGAGACCTTGTAGTCAAGGGGAGGAGATGCCCACATACCTGATGAAGTTTTCTTTGCCTAGAATTCATTTATTTCTTTGAAATGGATAGAGATGTATTTTAGTGTTGTTGAATGTCATTTTTTTCAATGTGTGTAATAAGTTTATTCTGTACTTTTCCTCTTTGGTACAATCTTGTCTTTAGTAGAAAATAGTGCAGTTATGTTACAATGGTGTTTCCAATGACACAGGTAATTTTAGGTGGTTTACTGACTCACTATTAAATAACAATCAGATAGTGAGAAAGTCATTTCTTTAAAACTCTTGTGAACCCTCTGATTATGTCAAAAACAGCCTTACCTTTTTCTTTCTTTCTTTTTTTTTTTGATAGACAGTATCTTATTCTGTCACCCTGGGTAGAGTGCCATGGTATCATCATATCTCACAGCAACCTCAAATTCTTGGCCTGAAGAGAACTTGTCGCAGCCTCTGGAGTTATCCGGGACTGCAGACCTCCCACAGTGTCGGGCTAATTTTCTTATTTTTAGTAGAGGCAAGGTCTCACTCTTGCTCAGACTGGTCTTGAACTCCTGAGCTCAGGCAATCCACCAGGTCTCAGTCTCCCAGAGTGCTAGGATTACACGCATGAGCCACCATGCTCAGCCCTTACTTTTCCTTTGATTCCTGCTCTTCTCTCTCTTTAACAAAGAGAGCAGGTCTCAGGTTCACAGCCTTCTATGAAAATATCTTCCTAAGTTTTGGGGGTTTTTTTGAGATAGAGTCTCTCTTTGTCATCCTCAGTAGAGTGTTGTGGTATCAGCTCACAGAAACCTCAAATTCATGAGCTCAAGCAATCCTCTTGTCTCAGTTTCCTGAGACTACAGGCACCCACCACAACACTTGGCTCTTTTTAGAGACGGGGGTCTCACTCTTGCTCAGGCTGATCTCAAACTCCTAACCTCAGGCAATTCACCTGCCTCTGCCTCTCAGAGCGCTAGGATTATAGGCATGATCCACCACACCTGGCATCTTCCTAAGTTGTAATAAAAATAATTTACTTTTATTATCTTTGTTTTTATAGTTATCCTCTACTTATGGAAATTGATACTGGTTTTCCATTTAGGGCAGTGGTTCTCAACCTTCCTAATGTCTCCTAAAGCCATGACCCTTTAATACAGTTCCTCATGTTGTGGTGACCCCCAACCATAAAATTATTTTCGTTGCTACTTCATAACTGTAATTTTGCTACTCTTATGAATCATAATGTAAATATCTGATATGCAGGATGTATTTGCATTGTTACAAAGAGGTTGTGACCCACAGTTTGAGAACTGCTGATTTAGGGTAATGATAGAAATTTAAGACAAAAAAATTTTTTAATTAGCTGCCTGAAAGAAAAATATTAGATAAATAATAGTGTAGGGCCAGGCATCCTCAAACTATAGCCCGTGGGCCACATGCAGCCCACCTAACACTTTTATCTGGCCCACCGGTTGTTTTTGCTGCCGCTGCCTGTCCTGCTTAACAGCTCATCCCGGGGCCCGCGGTCTGGCCCTCCAACGGTCTGAGGGACAGTGAACTGGCCCCCTATTTAAAAAGTTTGAGGACCCCTGGACTGTAGGCTATATATGTATGTGCCCCAAAAACAAATTACAGTGTTGCCATGCAAATAATGATACCCTTCCAGAATCTCCAGTCCTTTATGATATCTTCTGTATGGTCTTGTGACAGGGTTTTGGGAACTCAAAAGGAGCTGACTTGCCATAGAGACATGGAAGAGACAACACACAGACATCAGCCAAACTACAGTAGCTTTTACATATTTAAAACTTCACAGTGCTTTCTGGTTTAACAGAAAATTCTTGTCACTAATTGGGGTAGCATTGAGCCTTGAAGTTAAATATAATTAGACGGCATTGCATGTCTTAAGATATAGGATGTTTATGGTATGTTGTTATAGTATGAAATTTTTGAACACAAAAAGATACTACTAACATTTTCCTAATCAGATGCCATATTTTGCTGTGGAAAACCTATTCATATGTATACTGTGCACCCACATTTTTGGCCCAATCTTTCAAGAAAACTCCCCTCAAGAAAGTGGCCAGCTCTCAACTGGGAAAGACACATCTGGGGAGAGCTAATGCTCCCCCGGGTAAATGTACAGACTGCACCACTCTCCCATAGCCACCCTGCTCTGTGAAGACTGCCCTTTCCCTCTCTCCTGGGAGCCCTTTGGGGGCAAAAGACAAGATGGCCATACTCATGGCCAGTGGCGTGTAAGCTCTTGAGGCTGCTCAGCCTATGGGCAGCCAGGCAGGTCTTTGGGGCCTGCACAGGGCTCCTGGTGCCCCTCTGAGTGGCCAGGCCTTAGGCCTCAGTATTTACCCTGCAGGGCTATGGTTTGCCATCCCCTGATTGTGGTGCTCAGTGGAGGCCTCTCTGACCCACTCCCACTGGATCCCAGATCCCACCCTGGCACCCCATGCACCCAGTGGTCCCAGGCAGGCCCCCTGCTTCTGAGCTGTACCACTCACGTAAAGTGCACATCCTTAGTTTTCCCTCAAAAATTTGGGCAAAAAAGGATGCATTATACATGGCAAAATATAGTAAATAGGTCAATTAGCTCTTGGTCTTAAACCTGTAAAGGTTTTTCTTTTGTGAGCATGCTATAGCACTAGGGTGACCAGCTTTTAACATTGGTAAAGTGGGACAACATGGGGGGGGGGGCGGGGCAGGGCCTGACAACAATGCAAACTTTGATAAGCAGTTCTCTATAATCACTTCTCAATAATTATTTGTTATTATTAAAGTTTAACATTATAAAATTAACAAAAATAATATAAAACTCATATTCTGGCAAAATAGCCACATGGCAGCCAAAACCGTATATTCCCTTTCTGTTCTCCCACCCGTTTGTGCATTCTTTCCAAAAATTAGGACTTTTTTAAAATGACTCGGGACAAATTGTTAAAAAGCGGGACGTCTGGTCACCATATATAGCACAGACTTACTTGGAATAATTCTGTGAATAGTTGGTTCATTATTGGCAAAATTCCAGTTAAAAAGAAACTGGATGGTCCCAGAATACCCTCTTAAATTCTATCCCTCAGAAATAATACCATGCATGGCACAGAGAGTATCATGCATTATAACATTTATTGATGAAGTTTTTCCCATTTTAATGTTTCTCATCATTTCCTTACTTGATTAGTACTGCTAGTTGCTCTACTAAGAATGTAACACTGACTTGTTATTAGAGATGATATACATTGTTCCTGCAGCATTCCAAAGCAGAATGTTAGATATTAAATCCAAGCAAAAATGTGAGGGGAATCATTTCAGCATTTCTCAGGTGTTTTGCTGTCTCTTAAGGTGAGTAAGGTGGTGGTGACTGTTCAGTAGAGAGTTTCTCATAGGAAGATGGAGCATTGGGAACCTGTGAGAATGAGAAAAGGAGATTGTGGGCTTGACAACAGTATATTTGTTTCTGGGAAGAGATTAAATTAAAACAACATCATAGTTACACTTTTGCTGTGCACTAAAACTTGTGTCTGCATCTAATTTCCACCTAATGAGATATATATATATTTTTTTGGCCAGGGCCAGGTTTGAACCCACCCCCTGTGGTACATGGGGCAGGCTGGCACCCTACTCCTTGAGCCACAGGCACACAGGTGTCACCCTGTAATGAGATAATTGTTAACTCTTAATTTAACAATTTAACCTCTCTGGGGGGAAGGGTAGAGAAAAATAGAGCTAAAGGGTTTTCCAAAATCTCAAAAGTTTATTTCATCATACAAGGCCTGACAATTAAGTCCATGAACTTGCCACAGTCCACTTACTTTGTCAGCACTGTACAAGTTGGTGAAGTTTCATAACTTTGGTATATCAGTGTCTCAACGTGTGGTGGTATCTTGCTGAATGCCATTCATTATTGTTGCTGTGTGTTTTTGTGTGCCATACGATGACAGCTCTAATAGTTATTTTAGAAAAAGAATTCCAAAATTTCTATGAATGGTGGCTTGGGCCCTGGCATCAGTGTTTAGCTTCCTAAGGGGGGTATTTCAAAGGTGACCATAATGATATTCAGCAATGAGATATGTAGCATTTTTTCAAGGATGAGTTCATGAACTTAATTGTCAGGGCTTGTGCATCTTAATTCACACTACTGTCAGGTGCTCAGTAACAACATGTGGGCTAGTGGCTACCCCATCGGACAGCACAACTCTATACAATTAATTTAGGTACTTTTTCCCCTCCCCAATATACAAAGGGTACCAAAAAATGTATACATATTTCAAGAAAGGAGAAAGCTATGTTTAATTTTTATTACTTCAGTTATATCTGATTTCTACAACGTGCTCAGTGTGACTTGTATTCACCTTTTGTTATCAGTATATATTGAGAATTACAATTTTAATAGAGTTTTTTCCTTTCTTTAAAATGTGTATACATTTTTTGGCACCCTCTGTATATCAAATCAACATTCATGAAAAAGCCAAATATAACTAAAAACACAAAACAAAAGGATATTGTATCCAGAACCAATATCTTCCTTTGGAACTCACATAGAGGTCATTGAGTACATTCACATTATTTGCTTTTTAGATGAGAATTATCATATTCATTTGAGTTATTAAACAGTCATACATGGAAATATTCAGATGCAGGATCTCAGTCTCTCTGAATTTACCTCCCTGAATTCCAACCTACCACAAGATCACAATTTCTTTCTTGAAAAGGCAGTTTGCTGTCCTGATGACCAAGCCCTTCACGTGAGCATCTTCTTGTTAAGGTGCTTTGACTACCAACATGATGGTTTTTATCCTGAAACAATTTGATAAAGGCCAGTAGGTAAGTCTATTAAAGAAAAGAAAAGGAAGCCAAAGTTTAAGAATGAGTTTTAATCTAGATTCTGCTACTTACTTGGCTGTGTATCCTCAGGCTAGTCACTTTACCTGTCTGAATTCCAGTTTTTCCATCCGTAATAGGATAATACCACCTGCCTCTCAGAATTGTTAAAGGAATTAACTAGAGGTAAAGCATTACTGTATTGCCTGGCACCCATAGTTAGTCAAAGAATAATTCTGAAGGGAAGAAGAGTGAATCTACAAAAAGAACCTCTTTCAAAATTATCCTTCAGAACTGAAGGAGAAATAGACTTTCTCAGGCAAACAAAAACCAAGGAAATTTGGCTTGGCACCTGTAGCTCAGAGGTTAGGGTGCTGGCCACATGCACCAGGGCTGGTGGGTTTAAACCAGGCCAGGGCCTGCTAAAACAATAATGGCAACAAAAACAAAAAAATACCCAGGCACCTATAGTCCCAGCTACTGGAAGGCTGAGGCAAGAGAATCACTTAAGCCCAAGAGTTTGAAGTTGCTGTGAACTATGTACCATGGCACTCTACGGAGGGCGACATACTAAGACTCTGTCTCAAAAAAAAAAACCAAAGGAATTTGTTGCCAGTAGGTCTACCTTGTAAGAAATGTTAGAAGTTCTTCAAAGAGAAGAAAAATAATGGGTCAGTAATTCAGATCTACATAAAGAAAGGAAAAGCATCCAAGAAGGAGTAAGTAAACACTTTTTCCTATTCTTTAACAGATAATTCTGATTTAATAGTTCAAAATAATCATAGCAACAATGTATTTGATTATGTATACTTTCATATCTATGTGTGTTTATATAACATGTAAAATGAATGATACAAGAAAAGGAGGAAGGAATTAGGATTATTTTGTTACTAAAAGGTACTAAAACTACCAATGAAGCAGTATGGTCTTTTTTGAAAGTTGGATTGTTGTGAATATATATCCCAAATTCTAGGGCAAGTACTAAAAAAAGTAAAAATATATATATGTATGTATATATATGTATACATACATATATATATTTTGTACATATATATATACATATGTATACATATATACACATATATATATTATATATAGAGAGAGAGAAAATGGAACATATATAAAAAATATATATATATAGAGAGAGAGAGAGAGAAAATGGAATCATATAAAATGTCCAATTAAAACCACAAAAGGCAGAAAATGAGTGAAAAACTGATAGGAACAAATAATAAATATGATAGATATTACTCAAACTATATCAATAATCACTTTCAACATCAATGATTGAAATGAACCAATTAAAAGACAGTGATTGTCCAACTGGATCAAAAAACAAGACTCAGCTATGTTGCCTACAAGAAACCCAAATTAAATATAAAGACACATGTACATTAAAAGTAAATGGGTGGGCTCAGCACCTATAGCTCAACCGGCTAAGGCCCCAGCCACGTACACCTAAGGTGGCAGGTTTGAATCCCCAGCCCGGGCCCGCCAAACAACAATGACGGCTGCAACCAAAAAATAGCCGGGCGTTGTGGCGGGCGCCTGTAGTCCCAGCTACTTGGGAGGCGGAGGCAGGAGACTCGCTTGAGCCCAGGAGTTGGAGGTTGCTGTGAGCTGTAATGCCACAGCACTCTGCCCAGGGTGACAGCTTGAGGCTCTGTCTCAAAAAAAAAAAAAAAAAAGTAAATGGGTGGAGAAAGGTACCATGCTAATACTAATCAAAAGAAAGTAGAAATTTCTATATTGATTTCAAAAAGAGCAATTTCAAGGCAAAGTTATGGGGAAAGAGAGGCATTACCTAATGCTGAGGGGATTCATTCTCACAACAGCATAGCAGCCCTTAACATGCATGTACCTAATAATAGCACATCAAAATACATCAGATAAAAATGGATAGAACTGCAAGGAGAAATAATTGCATCTACCATGGAGTGGGAGTTGGAGACTTCAACACTCCTTTATCAAAAATGGACAAATCCAGCAGATGAAAAATTAGTAAGGACAGAGTCGAACAATAAAACCATTAATCTAGATATAATAGACATCTATAGGCTGCTTCATCCAATAGCAGCAGATTCTTCTCAAGCTCACACGGAACATTCACCAAGACAGACCACATTCTGGGCCATAAAACAACAAATATAAAAGAATAGAAATTATACAATATTTGCTTGTGAGACCATAATAGAATTAAATCAATAATGGAAAGAAAGCTGGAAAATCCAAAAATATATGGAAATTAAGCAACACACTTCTACATAACACCTAGGTCAAGAGAAATTTAAAAATATTTTAAACTAAATGAAATTAAAACAACTCATCAAACTTTGTGGGATGCAGTGAAAGCAGTTCTTAGAAGAAACTGTAAGATATTGAGTGTGTATGTTAGACAAGAAGAAAGATCTAAAATCAGTCATCTACGCTTCCACCTTAGGAAACTAGAAAAAGAAAAGCAAATGAACCCTTTCCAATTCAATTTTTCTGCCACCCACATATCCCCAGCTCTTATTCATTTGGGGAAGGAAGTTGGTGGATTACTTGTAATTATTCTACAGTTTTAAAAGACAAAAACCCCCCTGATGATTTTATTATCTATTTTAGGTTGTATAACAAAGTGTTTTTGTTTATAATATTTTTGAGTGTGATACTTTCTGAAGCAACCTCCAGGATGCAGGCCTGGCTTCCTCTTGCATGTCTCACAGTAGCAAGTGGTTTCTTTCCTTCCACTTTTATCATTTCTTCTGCTACAAACCATGCAATACTTTTATTTTTTTTTTCATTTTGCATTATAAAATGCGTCCTCCCGTTTAGTCTTTCTTCAGTGTCAGAAGATGAGGTCTTCCCCGCTTTCTTGAATTTGAGTTCTTCACATTGCTCACAAGCTGAGTGATGAGATTCTCCTGTAAGAAAGATGTATCTGCACTTTTTCTCCACTCTTCTTTTTATCTAGTGAGTAAAGGATGTAGCTGTTCACAACCACAACTTCCATCAGCCAAAAGAAGAATTTTTTCTACCATTTGTAGGACCTCCTTGTAAATCCATAACATCCACAGTACTGATCAGCTCTGTCCACTCTTCCCATAAACTTGTGTATTATAAAAGAAATGTCAATTTTTCAAATTGAACAGGCTATTTCTTCTTATAACCAGGGATCAACTGTGTTTAAGGGTCAAAGAATATAATCAGCGTAGTCACTAACATCTTTTCATACAATGAGAGGCACATTATTTTCACATCACATTAATAGGCACATAATTCATGTTCCTAAAGTTTCTTTTTCAGATCACTTGGAAATTCCTGGAAGCCATAACTTCCTGTTTTATTTATTTTCATTTCATGCAATTTCTGAGCAAGTTAAGGGCTTGCATAGAACCTGTCAATGTAGATGTGATAGCCTGAACCACTCATATGTGCTTGTAAAACTTGTGCCAAATGAATCACTATTTGAGATGTAAATGGAAAACCATAACAAATAACACTTTTATTGTTGTCTTGGGAACAACAGGAATATGAGAAAACACATAACCATTTTCTAAATCACACAAGCAAAAACACAACATAAAAACCATATCAGATGTCTTCTGACATCAGAGCAGACCAGGAAAATCATTATATTGGACAAACTCTGACATAGGATTAAATCCAAAGTAAGCAGAAAAAAGAAAAATTAAAGCAAAAATCAATGAAATTGAAAACAAAGAATTAATAGAGCTAATTGATGAAACCAAAAGCTGGTTCTTGGAAAAGATCAGTAAAATTGATGAGCCTTAAGCCAGGCTAAGAAAAATTAAAAAAGGAGAAGACACAAACTCCTGTTATCAGAAAGAGAGTAATCACTACAAATCCCATGGACATGAAAAAGATAAGCAAGGAATACTATGTTCACAAATCTGAAAGCAGAGAAGAATGTAACAAATCTTTGAAAGACATAATCTGTCAAAATTCACACAAGTAGAAATACACCATGTGAATAGGTCTATATTTCCACAAAAATTGAATCAAAAAATGAATAACAGAAAGCACCAAGCCCAGATGTGTTCACTGGTGAATTCTCTTAAACATTTCAGAAAGAAATTATACCAATTCTCCACAATCTCTTTCACAAGACAGAAGCAAAAGAGAGTCTGCCAGCATTACCCTAACACCAAAACTAGACAAAGACATTACAAGAAAAGAAAAATACAGATTAGTATCTCTCATGACTATAGATTTAAAAACCCTCAACAAAATATCAGCAAATCAAATCCACAATGCATAAAAAGAATAATATGCCATGACTGAGTGGGATTTATCCCAGGTATATAAACTTAGTTTAACATTGGAAAATCAATTAATTAATTCATTACACCAACAGGCTAAAGAAGAAACAAGCACCTGATTACATCAATAAATACAAAAAAAGCATTTGATAAAAATCACATCCTCATTCATAGTTAAAAGCTCTCAGTAAACTATAATAGGAATAGAGGGAAACTTCCTCAACTTTGCTAAAGACTATCTACAAAAATCCTAGGGCGGCACCTGTGGCTCAAGGAGTAGCACGCCAGCCCCATTTGCCAAGAGTGGTGGGTTCAAACCTAGCCCCGGCTGAAAAACTGCAAAAAATAAAAATAAAAAAAGAATATCTACAAAAATTCTGCAGCAAACAAAACATAATGATGAGAAGCTTGATGCTTTCCCACTAAGATCAGGAACAAGGCAAGTATGTCTCCTCTTATCACTCCTTTTCAACATCATCCTAGAAGACCTAGCTAATGCAGTAAGCCAGAGAAAGGAAATAAAATGTATACTTATTGGGAAGAAAAATAAATAAAACTGTTCTTTTCATTATTAATTTTTTTTATTTTCTTAAGTCTCTCACCTGCCATAGGACAGGAATGTGATCCACTGTCTCAGATCACTGCCAGCATTCCACATTTACATTCTAATTCAGGGTGCATATTAAAAATGCAGATTCCTGGACCCGACCACCAGAGATGATCCCAGAATATGCCTTTTAGCAAGGGATTACAGTGCATGTGTACTCACCATGCACTGGGAAACTCAGTACTCTGACATGTGAGTGTAAACTGAGCTGTCAGCAGGGGCCTTGAATCTCTTCTCCAGGAATCAAAAGTATTATGTACTAAACTTCCAAGTGAAGGTGCAAAACTGTTCATACAAAAACCTGCCTTCATTTCTTACAAATCATATCCCACTCCCTGCTGCAGAAACATGTTACTGCCAAAAAGCAGTCATTCCTTTCAAAATATGTTTTTCGGGGCTCAGGGGAATTGTGTTAACCAAGGGAGAAATTTTAGGAGATCTAAATGCCAGACACCCTCATTATCATTCCATGGTCAATGAAAGTTGGAAAGTAGACATTTCAAAGCTTAATGAAGGCTGCTAAAGTCATTCAGGTACCCAATGCTTGTATTTATTGTCATTTATGTTCTTTTGCTTTAAAATGGAAATAGAATCACCAAAGAGAGAAAAGGAGATAACTGTGTAATTAAATGCAGCACTTAATGCACCATTTTACATAATTTTGCCTAAATTTCTTAGACTGCTAATTCCCAACCTGGCTTTTCTGGAGATATGAAAGTCTCAAAACAAGTTTTTAATATTAATTTTAAAAATAAATATGATAGCATTTTTGAGCAGTAGGGGAACCAGGGAATTTAAACATATTTCTAACTCATAAAAATTTCAGACACAACCAATCACTGAGCTAGTCATAGAGGAAAGGAAACACGGTGGGTTGAATTTGAACCTTACCAAGTAAAATGTTCACAGTGGCTGAGCACACAACATTAAGACTCTCATTCTTCAAATGAATGAATTTAAGATGAGGGCACTGAAGTGTAAAGGTGAAAAATTATTGTCTTTGTGTCCAGTAACATCAGGCTGATAATTGTAGTTAGTTAAGAAATGGGTACCGACATATTGAGTGTGTGTAGCCTTTACTCTCTGAAAGACTGAATCATTGTAGTTTTGATATTCAAGCATATAGTGAAATAAAAGCATAGAAGAAAATATGTATTACATAAACATGGGTAGACATTGTGTTTATATCATCTGTTTCCACCATTGCTAATAAGGCTTGGAGTAGTTAAAAATCTAAGATCACCAACCACGTCAGTGGCAGACAATGAGACCACATCCTGATGCCATACAGTTGCTTGATTGCTATATACCGGGCACTGGAGAAACAAAGATGAATAAGAAATAATCTCTAATTCATTTCATAAATGGGGAAAAGAAAAAGGGTGGAAGAGGCAAAAAGAAAATAACTAATTACAAGGCAATGTCACAACCCCATGCTAGAGTTAAAGTGGAGTTCTGTGGCAGACAGCAAAGCCTTCCCCTCCTAACCTGTTGGGAACAGCCACGGAGAGGTGCCATATGAGTAGTTCTATCCCTAACTTTCTAGCCCAAGCCTTCCTTCCAGGATTCGGTTGGAACCTTCTTGTTCACTCAGCAACTTCTCCTCCTTTCTACTAAATGTTAACAGTCTAGAAGGCTATGCTCAGTGGGCATTTGAGCCCCCAAACTTGCCCTGACTTTCTTTCATGGTTTGTACTTGTTTTCACGCTCTGCTGAAGTTTCTCGACAAGGAAGAAAAGAATTGAAAGCTGCATCTTTCACCTTCCCCTTCTCATCAGACTGCCAGTCTCCAACCCCAATCCCACATGGACCCTCCTCTCCTTCCCAGGACATTTTCCTCTGAATGAAGTACATGCTGAATGAGGACTGGAACTTTCCAACAACTTTTGTAAAGGTGACTTTTTGTGTTATGCATCAACCTGAAAAACATTATCTGTAATAACAAGAAAGAGGGAAAGAGAGATCTTTTCATTCCACTGCACACTGTAGAGAATGCCTTTGAGTGCTTAAATGGCAAGGTGCTATCTGACTTTGAAGCAAGGCTGCTAAAAGTCATAGTTTTTATAGTTTACAGACTCGGTTGATAATTTCCATGTGTAGAAGATCCTGGTACCACAAGACTGGAGTGTCTTATTGTGTTAGCTTCCTGCTAACTTGGGTAAAGAACAAAAAATTTATAACCATTTATACCACTTTGGCCATTTAGGAAGGATGAAACCTGTTTATAAAACACACACACACAAGGTGATCCTTTGTGTTGCTGAGGGAAAGATGGTTTTCTCATTGCACTAATGTCTGGAGGGGCCTTGGACATCCTGAGCTGACTACTGTAGAGTTAAAAGAACTTGGAATTCCCAGGTAACTGTGAGGAAAGGAGTGAAGAGAGAAGGCAGGAGTGGGCCAATAAGCAGAGGAGTAGAACCAATAGGAATCCCTAGAAGTACTGGTGAGACCTGAGGTGCCTAATATACTGCAGCTTGCTATGCAAGAGGACCATGAACCCCAACCCACATGCCCCACAAACCATCAGTGCTCGGCACTGACACTCAGGTACCCAAGTTTACTACACCTAGGACCATTATGTTCCCCAAAGTTCTTATGTTAGAAGTTCAACCCCCAGTGCAATAGTGTTGAGAAGTGGGAACTTTAAGAGTTGATTAGGTCACCAGAGCTCTGCCCTCATAATTACACAAATGTCATTACCTTGAAAGTGGGTTTGTTATAAGAGTGACTTCTGCCCCTTCTTGCTCTCTCAGACTCTTTTGTCTGGGTGATGCCTTCTGCTATGATATGACGCAACAAGAAGGCCCTTGCCAGATGCTGATAGCCCCGTGATCCTGGACTTCCCAGCCTACAGAACTGTGAGCTAAAGAAATTTCATTTCTTAAAAATTAACAAGTCTCTGGTATTCTGTTATAGCATCACAAAATAGACAAGGCACAGGACAAGTTTCAGGGTGGGGTTTGTGCCTGGGCAGAGGCAGAGAAAGATTTTCAAGAAGTAAAATATAGCAAACAATTCATCAGAAGCGGGAATCTAAGCTAGAGTGATCTTGAAACTGTTATCCCACTCCCAGAAATTCAGAAAAAGAAGTGGAAAGGGAGTCCTGAATCTGGAGTGATCCTGGCAGTGGGAACTATGCTCACCGTCAAGGTTCTGTATCCACTTCGTCTTCTACAATACCAGCAGCCGATGAGCAGTAAAATTCCCAGGATCACTGTCAGGATGCCAATCCCTGCAGCCCTGCCCCAAGAGACAGACAAATCCACCTTGGCATAGAAACATTGTTCCAGATTGTGATGAAATATAGATCAATCAATCTTCTCTCTTCCTATGGGTTTTGACAGCCTGAAGAAGCACCTCAAAGTCCCCAAGTAGTTTCCCACCCTCCACACCAGTACCCACCAGAGCTCTGGCACCAGGGACAGGTCCTTGTCTAGGAGCCTGTCAGGTGTGTGCACACAGAAGCACTGCTAACTGGAATGGCCCAAAAACCCACATTCCAGGTGTAAGAAGTGCCGTAACAACTGATCCTTGTGTGGACGATGTATTTATTTATTAGGACTAAATTATCCTTTCTTCTCGTCAAAGCTGGCTTAAAGCGTATTTTTCAATTGGTCCACAAAAAAAAAAAATATATATTTATTTATATTTATTTATAAATATATATATATATATATGAAAATTAGCATTGACTGGGATGGCTCTACAACCGTAGCTCAGTGAGTAGGGTGCCGGCCACATACATTGAGGCTGGCAGGTTCAAACCTGGCCTGGGCCTGCTAAACAACAATGACAACTACAACAAAAAAATAGCCAGGCATTGTGGTGGGCATAGTCCCAGCTACTTGGGAGACTGAAGCAAGAGAATCACTTAAGCCCAAGAGTTTGAGGTTGCTGTGACCTGTGATGCCACGAGAACTCTACTGAGGATGACAAAAACAAACAAACAAACATTGACTGGGTATCTACTATAACCATGTGCTGTGCTAAACTTTCTACATGCATTAGCTTATTTAATTCTCATGACAACCCTGCAGGGTAGGGACCATTTATCATTCCCATTTCAAAGATGAGAAATTAGCAGTTAAATGACTTGCTGGTGGTCATGCAGAGCCAGTACAAGACAGAGCTAGGATTTGAACCCAAGTCTGTCTCAATTATGTTTCTGCCTCTCTTCCCCAAACTCAAACTCACCCCTTTACTCCTTACAGCTATAGGGAGAAGCGTCTGAGCTGAACCTAGAGCAAAAGTATAGCATTACTTATCAAGGAGGATCTGGTCCCAAGCTGCAGGAAGCCAATCTGGGGATCTAAACCAGTGGACTTCCGAGCTAACAATTGCCTGACCACCACAACATGATCAAAATTGAGAGTACTGAGTTTGTTATCAACTTGTTAAAAAAAGGCTCTGCAGAGCTCAGTGATTTATAAGAGGATGAGTGGCCACAGGAGAAGCAAGGCCAAACTAAGCCTTCTCCTGGAGAGACTTTTGTCCAGAATCATCTACCAGACCACCTCTGTCTCAAGGCTGCTGGGAAATCAAGTTTGTCCTGTCCATTTCTAAATGAGATGGAGAAATAATCATGGGATGGCAGTGCTAGATGGAAACTCTGACCCAATTATGTAGGCCAATCCACCTATAGTATAAACCGTGAAGTTGAGACCAACCAAGATTCATCAATGTCATCACCACCATAGTGACTATTCTCCCATTCATTGAACACCAATTTATGCCAGGCACTGTGCTAAGTACCTCACATACATGCTTTTATTTCATCCTAACAACAATCCTTTGAGGAAGAAATAATGTTCATTCTACAGCTGACAAAATACCCAAGGTTTGCACAACCATTAAGAGGCAAAACCAACATTTATGGCAACTGGCATTAGATACCCAATGAGTGAGCACTAGAATTTGGGCCAGATCCAGGTCTTCCATCTCCCAGGCCAGTGATTTTACTGCAGATCACTCTTTCCCAAAATGAAACTGTCACAAGGAGTATTCAATGGGCCCTTGTGACTGAAAGCAAGTGATTCTACTCCCAGCATGCCCGTACTCTAGTTTTACCCTGTGGCCATCCCCCTTAAACATCTTGATACAGATACAGCTCTGTTCCAGCTGTTTATGCACAGTCACATTGCACTCACAACACGCCCAAGGGACTGAAAGACACCAGAGTATGCCAGACCCACTAGAAGAACCTACTGCCCAGAATAGCAGAGATCCTCAGAGTGACACCTAAATACCACCTGCAGAAGAATCATGAGAGAGACATGTTAAGGTGCAGATTGTGGGCCCTACCCCTGGCTCATCAAATCAGCTTCTTAGTAGCCATCCCTGGGAATCTGCATTTTAACAGGCTCCAGGGATGACTTATGCCCCACTCAACTGCGAGAACTCCTTTCCACTGAAGTTTCAAAGAAATAGATAATACTCAAAGCAGGTGTGTTGACTGTTTTGACTATAGGTGTGAGGGGTTGCTTTGCATTGTTCTTTCTCATGTTACAAGGTGGTACAATTTCAAGAAGGATAAATATCCTCAGATCTTAGAGATGAATTGCTACCATGAAGATGTCCTCATTCCCTTAGCTGTGCTGAACCTGTTCAGACAGGTAGTCAGCTAGGCAGGGACAATTCATGAGAGGAATGAAATGGGGGGTGGCCTGGTGCTCACTTATTTTCTGGACTGATCTCCTTCACAACCCTGCATGAGACATGATGTTCCATGTATTCATTTGTTCTTCCCTCACAGGGTGACTCTGGCCACCTGCCCACCCTACAGACAGTGTGAGGATTGAGCAGGCCAAGAAGACAGAGGCAACCTGAGGGCAACAATATGTCAAAAGGAACGACTTTCTGCTAATAGAAGGAAAGGTCCCACATATACAGGTTGAATAGGAATTTTCTCTTTGCACTGTGACCCAGAAGCTACCTCATGTTCTAGGAAGATGTCAAGGATTCTACCTGACTCTGCATTAATGCCTCGTTCAGGCTGTAAGACACGGAACACTAATGCCCCCAGTCAAGGGGTTGCTTCACATGATAATGGTAAGAAACCCTTATGCCCTTTATTAAGCTAGTGTTCCTCAACTCCAGACCCACCTCTCTGCTCTGATGCTGGGGCTACGTTCTGCAAACCCCACTTGGCTCCCATTAGAGGACTCTAGAGGGAGCCCATCAGCCTGGAGAAGGGGAAGGAGCTGCTCCTAACAGGCCACCTACTGTTGCCCTCTACCATCACCTCAGCGACAGTTCTTCATGCAGTTAGTCCCAAACACCAGCTCTTTTTCTGGCCTTCCTAGAGCTGGCTGCATTACGCCCCTCCCCACTAAGAGCACCAGCCAGCCAGTGGCCCTGCCTCAGAGCTCTGCATGCTTGATTCATGCACCCCCACTAAGCTCCTGAGGCACCAGCACCAGCCAAACAGAAATCCCTCCTTAGAGACCTGGCTCCCATCTCTGTGGGGTCCCACCTCTAGCTCCAGGTTCTGACGCCCCTCACTTTCCTTTTATTCCCCAATCCCAGAAGTGGAAGCCGCCTCCTGCATGCTCTGCTGTTGGGTTGCCTCTCTGTCTTGTTGGTCCACTGAGTTCTCATGCCTATTGAGCCAATTCCTTATATTAAAGTCCCTATGCTGAAACTCCTAGTTGGTTTCTGCCCTCCTGACTAGACCCTGAAATAACCCTGTTTAAGGCTCTGGATGCGGGGCGGTGCCTGTGGCTCAAAGGAGTAGGGCGCCGACCCCATATGCAAGCGGTAGCAGGTTCAAACCCAGCCCTGGCCAAAAACTGCAAAAAAAAAAAAAGGCTCTGGAGGCGTCTGGACACTAGACTCCCAGCTGGGAGTGATGGCACCAACTGGCAAAAACACCTTCTGCCTTCAGTGAGAAGCTGCTGAGCCTTCAGCTTCACACAGACACACTGATCTCTGCCCTAGCCTCTCACTGGATGTGAATGTGCAAATATTTGCCTCTTAATAGAATGGACTCCGGAGGCAAACAGACCCAGATTTAAATCCCAGTGCCACCATGCCAGGTTGCATGTTTCCTAATTTCTCTAAACCTTTCCTCATTTATCTGGCAAGCAAGATACCCACCATGGTAGGTGTTACCCTGTGGGGAATGAGCATCAGTGAAAGGAGTTGCCCTAGCTTGTCCTTCGTCTTTCCCTTTCTGTTGCCAAGACTTGGAGATAAAGGTGCACCACCTTTAGCCATGGAGACAAAAAGCAACACTTGAAGGGAATAGCCAGCCAGAAAGAAAGAAAACTGGCAGGGCTTGAACTTTTTACTCTTGGATTATTACATGAGAGATAAATGAAATTATACTTTCAAGAAGAGTCTGTGGCCTGGTGTGATGACTCACGCCTGTAATCCTAGCACTCTGGGAGGCCAAGGTGGGTGAATTGCCTGAGCTCAGAAGTTCAAGACCAGCCTGAGGTAGAGTAAACCCCTGTCTCTACTAAAAATAGAAAAACTAACAAGGCATGGTAGTGGGCGCCTGTAGTCCCAGCTACTCAGGAGCCTGAGACAAGAGGATCTCTTGAGCCTGGGTTTGAGGTTACTGTGAGCTATGATAGCAGAGCACTCTACTCAGGGTAACAGAGTGAGAATCTGTCTCAAAAAAAAACAAAAAACAAAAGTCTGTTGATTCATCATACAGAGGCTGAAAGGATATCCTAGCTAACACCATGTGCAGCTGCCTCCCCTCCCTCAAAGTGTAATATTTTTGCTTTTAGAACATTTCATTAGAAGACACTGCCACCATCATCCACAACTGGCCTCATGGAAGTATTACAAAATCTCTCACTGGGGTCTTCTGAAGAAATGCTTCTAACCTGATTTCTCCCTCAGCACCCTTCATGGGTTCTCTGTCTTGCTTGTCCCTGCTGGTTGACTCTGTCAAAGATTTTTCAACAACACGAGAAATAGTCCAAGTAAAAACCTGGCTCCTTGTTGTCCTGCTGGAGACCTACTCAGAGGGTGGCACCTCCCTCATACCAAACCCTTTCCCACTCCTAGAACATACAGAGAGTGTCCCTGTGGCCACTCGTTCCCCACTATGGCATTTACACTTGCTGAGAGTATACTCATGCCTTACTCTCCCACTACCACGAGCTTTTTCAAAGATAAGAACAGTGTCTTGGGCCAGTTTACAATGCTTAGCACTCAGAAATGTTTAATCATATAAATACTCATTTGTTATTAACTCTGAATACCAAATACTTTTTTTTAGGACAAAGTTATGCTGCAAAAGTCACAACCACCATCTTCACCCTGGAGTCAAGCTGCAGGCTGAGTCACACACACCTGCCTTTCTCCTCACTGGCTCTTCCGCAGCCCACTTTTGTTCTGTCTGCAAACCACTTTCAGGAGCTTGAGTGGAGTAGACAGAATAAGCTTTAAGGAAAGAGGCATCTTGATCCTGGACACATGTGTTTTGGCTAGGGAACCTTGGCCCAATAACCAAGAATTCAGACAAAAATGGCAAGATTCAACGTTTTATCTTTGCTATCTTGCTGTTTGGCCTCAGGGAAGCCTGAGTGAGTCCTTGAAGGACCACGCAGTCTCCTTTTTTGTGGCCAGAGATTCTAGTTTCTGGAGAGAGAGGAACTGGCGTGTGCTGGTGGAAGTCATAAGGCTTTTGGCAAACAGCAAACTGGAACCCCTGCTGGGTCTAGTTTTGAACTTACTCTTCAGCTGTGATGTATGAGTGGTGGTGCCCCTTCTTGGGGTTACCGTAGACAAAGTGAGCATCTTCTCTTGGCATCTTATAGGGTCAGGGCACAGGACACCTAACAGAAGGGCACATGGGCATCATTTAGTGCATCGAAAGCAACCTCATTCATCATCTCATAAAGACCACAGAGGCGTTCACACTAGGACACTGACACTGACGGCCAGGACCCTCTCTCTGTGAGAGGGTTTGCCCTTGCTTCTTTCGTTAATGTCAAGGGTTTTAGAAATAGCTCTGGTTTCTAACCCCTTCTACTAACTGAAAATTAAGTTCAAAGAAGAAGTTACAAACTAAAGCAAAGAACTTTTAAATTAAGATATTATTGGGTGGCAGGTGATGCTCTTCATTTGCCTTCAGTTTGACTCTATACCATAAACTTACATAAAAACCAATAAACAAAAAGTACATTTTACTCATTTTCTCCCTTCTCTGGTACACGCCTGTGGCTCATAAAATAAGAAGAGTTATTTCTCTCCAAAGTTATTATTTAATATCAATCCCTGGACAAACAGAAGGCCTTGATAACCTAATGTATGCTCCTGGGTGTCCTCCACCTGAGCCCCCCTGGGGGGTGTGAGGCTGACCGGTCAGCACAGCTCCCTCCAGCCCTGCCTTTCCCCAGAGGGGATCACCTTACACAAGGGCTTCGTCCATGTGCGCTTCACCCAAACTATGCTGAGCAAGTCCAGGGCCTGACGTTGTCTAACAACTTGCTTACCTTCCCCCAAATCAACGTCTGCTTCTCTCTAGTCCAAGTCTCAGGGCTAGAATTTAAAAACAGGTTTTTTTTTTTTTTTTTTTAGCAAAATACAAATAGATAAAAAAAAAAAAAAGCTCATTAAAAATCAATAATGGAAGCTTCTCTCTTTGCTGGTATGCATTCCTCTCCCCTCTTACCGCTCTTGTGCGTTTCAAAGGTCTGATCACTGTGGAGTTATATTAATGAGCTCCAGGTACAACAGGGAGAAAGGGGAGAGCAGAATGAAAGTTTCAGCACATGTGTAATTAGCTATTCCCGACTGTAAAAAATAAGTTACAGTTGAACTCACTTATTGTAGAGATGAACCCTGTGTTCAGAATTACATATAATAAACTTGATTCTGCATTATATTGGTTAAACATCTATACCTCATGCTCAGAGCCTTGGCAAACCAAGTAGGAACAAGAAAGACACTTCATCTTGCTCAACCCAAGACAAGTGGTCCCTTAAGTAACAGGAGAATGCTCGAACTCAGGGAGGCTGCTTCTCCCCAGCAGGTGCCACCCTGAATCATGGCTTTTCTTCTTGGCAGTCTTGGAGGACTGAGAGAGCACCTAGGAGGAGATTTCGTGAACCCTCCAAAGTTGAAGAAATACAAACATTGCGGAGAAATCCTGTTGACAGTCAAGCATCAGGTAGACAATGAAGGATGGCAGAGAAGTTCACCAGAATTTCCCAAACCCTGCTCTGAAAGAATAGGACTAGGAGTATGGTGAAAGGTAATACTCTTACCTTCCTGAATGAGATAGTCCCCCGTCTCTGGCTGGCTGTGTATGTGAAGATTGCTTCTCTGGCTCTTAATTTTTTTAATTTTTTTTCCTGGTCTTGAGTCCCATGATAGTCACGGGTTTGGGTTCTGACGGGATCATCTGTAATTGCTTAATTGGCATGAAAGAAATAGACTTCATTCTTCTTTTCAAAAAGTCACAGTTTGCTGCAGCCTGTTCTCCCTGATGCCATCCTAGGGAAGCAATTTAATTTAAATGTGGGTTCCCCCTCTGTAGGGCTGCCAGATAAAATATACAATGGCTGGTTAAATTTGAATTTCAGATAAACAAAAAATTTTTTTCAGCATAACTTTGTGTCATACACATTCCATGGGATATACTTATACTTAAAAAGTTATTTTGGGGGCATCACTTGAACCCAGAAATTTGAGGTTGCTGTGAGCTAAGCTGGCACCATGGCACTCTTCAAGAGTGAGACTTTGTTTCAAAAAATAAGTAAATAAAGCAATAAAAAAATAAAATAAAAGTGTTTTTTTGTTTATCTGAAATCCAAATTTAAGTAGGTGCCCTGTACTCTCCCTCATCTCCATCTCAAAGGTTGAAGAGGCTTTAGGCTCAGTTCTGGTGATCATCTAGTCCCAGACTCTCATGACCAAGAAAAGGAAATAGTAAATCCCTAAAACCTCTTGAGCTGAGTTCCCTGAGTTTTTATGATGTTCTTAGAGTTAACTGTCCACTGGGTATAGTGAGTTTCCATGCATTTACAAGGGAGAGACAACATTTTCTCCTGGAAAATGAACTATGATCTACTTAGAATCTAGTTGAAACCAGGGCTGATTCTACCTAACATCACAATTTACCTGGGAGTCAAATGTGTATAGCCCAGAAGTATCTCAGTGGGACAGGACAGCTATCCTTGCTCACTAGCTCTCCAAAATCATGTGGGCAAACAAAACAAAGCATAATCCCACGAGAATGAGGAAATATGAGAGTCCTCATCAGCTGAGGACTTAGATTAAATGACCAGTAAGGTCCTCTTCCCCGTCTGTGGGCCCCATTCCTTTCAGATCCCATGACTTTCCAGTTTCCATTGTGGGCTGTGGACAAAGGCGGTCCTGTCTGAGGGTGGTAACAACCCACGGGAAACTGGATATTCATCACCAGAAATGGTAAAGAAGAGAGAAAACAGAGAAAGAGAGTTGGTCCTTTTTAGGTGAGACAAGGAAAGCCAATCTGAAAAGGAGAGAAAATTTAAACAGATCTAAACAATAAGAAAGAGTCAGCTATGAAAAGATGATGGAAGAATATTTCAGAAAGAGAGAACATCCAATGCAAAGGCCTTAGGCAGAGCAACAGAACATGACTGAATCTGGGTTCCCAGACTGAGGCTGGCTCAGGAGATTTTGCACAAAAATTGGGACAGATATGTGTACAAACCCTGATGTCAATAGATTTGGGAAGATCAGCTTCAACCTGAACCTCAGGTTTATGCCTGGTAACTCCCAGGAAGTCTTAGTTTTGAGTGCTAGTCTACAAAGAAGGATGCAGTTCTGAGCTGAGGAGTCCAGGGTTTGTGCTAAGCCGCGCTTGACAGCTAACCTGGGCTTCTGGGTGATCAGCAGCAAGATGACAGGGGAGAGAGGTGCTGACCTGCATCCCAGGGCAGGGTGATGCTCCTAGGTCTTTTGCTGTTGTCCTCCAATGATGCGAGCTGACCCAGGGGGCTTAAGTGTGCTCTGGTATACCTCCAAGATGGAGGCCACATTGCAGCTGGCATCATCTCTCCCAGAGGAAGGTGCAAGGCCAGATCAAGCAGGCTAAGGACACTACCTTCTGTTTGGAGGCATACTCTATTGCTTGTTACCTTTTTGAAGACCTAGAGCCCTGACCAGATCTTTCACAGACATCTCTCTGAGTCTTTGCATGGTTTGTAGCTTCTGAGGTGCCCAGCCCTTTCACAGTTACATGTCCAGGATAAGCTAAGAGTACCCTAGGAACCTCAACCTGAAAATCCTACAGTATCCTGTTGCCTGGAAGCCCCCCAGAAGTTCCTTCTGACTAGGCTCCTACTCTCTGTCCCTGGGCCTCAGGGTCCACCCCAGAAGCAGCCCAAGGCAGGCCTGCCCCCGACTCTTCTCTTCTCTGGCATAGAGCCCTAAGCTAACATCAGGAACTCTAGAATCCAAACTGCCTGTGTTTCATCTCTTCAATGTGTTTGACCTTAGCCAAATTGCAAACATCTGAAAGCCCCAGGATGTACATCTAAAAAAAGTGAGGGGAGCTAATAGTTCAGAGAGTTAAGGAACTAATGATGCTTACGCAGTGCATAGTACAGTATCTGGCACAGAATTTACTCAGCCACAATAGTGTGAACTGTTACTACAAGGCTGCCCACCTGCTACCATTTGGCCCACCTCAGAGAGCATACCCTGTACCCTGTCACCGCCCCGGACCGCCCCCGCCCCGCGGTTAGAAATTGCACCCACGTTACACCTCGTTTGCCACCGACTGGTTCTCTGCTGCCACCTCGTGGTCCTCGGCCGCCTTGCACGCTAGTCCCACCTCATGACGGGGGAAAGGGTACCTGTTTGGTTTTTCAAAACCCTCCTGTTTACAGAACTCAGGGATCAGAATCCTCTTTGGAACCTTCCTCAATGCTCCCCAAAAGATTGTGAGCATTTTCTCTCTCTCACATCCCTCCCCTCAAAGGCAGCTGCCCTTTTGTAGGAAGAGCTGTGGGGAGAGAGGACAAGTAGATACCTCGATAGTGAGCCAGGCAGGCTGTGGACAGTACTCCCTCCCTCCGCCTCATGGGAGTCTCGAACCCCTGCTCTCATCATTACCTATGTAGCCTTGAGCAAGTTACTTAACCTTTCTGAGCTTCAGTGTCCTCATCTGCAAAATGGGAATAAAGAATAATTGCAAAATTTCTGTGAGAATTAAGTGAGATGCCTGTGTGAAATGGTCTAGCTCAGTGTATGGCAAGTTATTGAAGCTTGAGACAGGCAAACAGCCCGGAGAGGGAGAGCAGGGTAAGCCTGGGCACTGACATCCTTGTGGAATACAGAGAGGCTCTGACGGGGGAGGGCAGTGGAGCCCCGGAGGGGAACAGGGTGAAGGCAAGGCCCTATGGGGGCTGCAGGGGAAGCCCTGGCCGCTGGGGGCCAGCGGAGCCCTCCCAGCTCCTCAGACAGCGAGACAGGAGCCCAGGCTGGTCTCCTGGGCCCCATCAGTTCCTGCTATGGGTGAACTAGCATCAGCTCAGCATTCTCTCGGAGCTGCCTTGAGTGGTGAGAAACTGGCCCAATTCCAAGGCTACTCAGGTGAGCAGAGGAGAACACCACTAAATCAGACATATGTTAATCCCGCAGCCGCTTGTGGCTAGTCATGGTCAAGATGGATGGGGTTCACTCTGGGAGGTGGAGGTGAGTGGATCCCTTAGGCTCAGGAGTTTGAGGGCAGACTAAGCAAAAGCAAGACCCGTCTCTGCTAAAAATAGAAAAATTAGCCAGTATTGTGGCCGCCTTTAGTCCTTGCTGCTGGGGAGGCTGAGGCAGAAGGATGACTTGAGATCAAGAGTTTGAGGTTTCTGTGAGTAGGCTGATGCCATAGCACTCTACCTAGGGCAACAGAGTAAGACTCTGTCTCAAAAATAAAAAATGCTTACTCCAGCATTGATTGGTTGTATGTCCTTGGCATATAAGACTGTCAGCATCCATCTCTTCATCTGCAAGATGAGAACATAATCTCTCTCCCAGGAAGGCTGGAAGTTGAGGTCTAATGTGCCTATAACAGAGTACACCCTTGTATTAGTCCAAGTTCTTTGGTTGTGAGCAACAGAACCAAACTTAACTCAGGCTACGTAGAGAGATGAGAAAATTAATGGGAAGTTAAGAAGGTGTCCCATAGAACTAAAGAAAAATCTGAGCAAACTATGCCTTAAGAAGAAATAGGATGAAGTTGTCCTGTGAATATAGGTAGCAAGAATTAATGGCTGCTCTTTCAATTTGCTGCGGCCAGAATGAAATCATCTCTAGCCATTCTTATCTTTGTCAGTGTATAAGATTTACTTTTCTTGGAGACTCTCATGTCAAGTTAACTGAGAGAGGCTCTCTAAAAGAAAAGATGGGCCAAGCTTGGTGTCATATCTATAATCCCAGCACTTTGGAAGGGTAAAGTGAGCGGATTGCTTGCGGTCAGGAGTTCGAGACCAGCCTGGGCATCATAGCAAGAACCTGTCTCTACAAAAAAGAATTAGTTAGGCATGGTGACACGCACCTGTAGTCCTAGCTCCTAGGGAGGTGAGGATGGGAGGATTGCTTGAATCCAAGAGTTTTAGGCTATAGTAGGGTATGATGGGGCCATAGTACTTCACCCCAGGTAACAGTGAGAACTTGTCCATTAAAAAATGGTAAATAAATGAAATAAACGATGTTTATTTGGTAATAAAGCATTGCAGTGGGAATATGTAGGCCATAGTAAACCATGTCCACATCCATAAAAGTAAAAGGAGACAACAGTTTTTAAAGGAAAAGTGAGGAGGATTACATAATTATTTTGAAATAATTATTTTTGGCTAAAAAGATCAATAACAAGGGTGATTCCAATAGGAGATTGGACAGACAGTTGTTGGGCAGGCACGTGTCTTTGCAGAAATATTTTTTATGTAAGGTTGTGATGCCCTTTATACAGGATTGTGGGTTTTTCAGTCTTTTTTTTTTTTTTTTTTGTAGAGACAGAGTCTCACTTTTTCACCCTCGGTAGAGTGCAGTGGAGTTGCTCCAGCAACCTCCAACTCCTGGGCTTAGGCGATTCTTCTGCCTCAGCCTCCCGAGTAGCTGGGACTACAGGCGCCTGCCACAATGCCCAGCTATTTTTTGTTGCAGTTTGGCTGGGGCTGGGTTTGAACCCGCCACCCTCGGTATATGGGGCCGGCGCCCTACTCACTGAGCCACAGGTGCCTCCCGGGTTTTTCTGTCTTTATTGGACAGTTTTGTTATTAGGCATACAAGCATAAGAACCTTGTCTTCATGGTCTTTCCTGGCTCTGTTTGTCAGGTTTTTCTTAACATTAGTAACTCTGTTTGATTCTGACAACTTTCACATTTGTTTGGCTAGCTTGGGTCTCTTAACGCT